AGCGTGTAGGAATAGAAAAATGCGTTACCAATGAACCCCGCGCCGCCAGTTGGGAACCACTCCTCAAAAAGCGCCCATACGTTGAAGACGTTCATGACCATGATGGTTCGATCTGGCGCCGGGTTCAGAGCTGTGACAATAGTCCTCACCCACCACGCCATTACGACATCACCTTCACTCAGAAAGGGCGCCTTGTCCTCATTATCGGGGCTCATCGCAGCAAGCTCCTTCCGAGCGGATTCCTTCAGCCGGTCCACGCATCGCCTTGGTAGGCGAATGGGATGTTCCTCCTCTTGCTGATACCAGAACAGCTCCCATAGATACCGCAGCCCAAAGATCACAAGGCTAAGTCCGCTAAGAGCGCGGTCCAAATTACTATAGGGCTTCACCGGGGCTTCTGTACCCAGTGTGCGCAGAGGATCATGTTCGAAAGGGATGAAAGGCGGTACTTCGTCTTCTCGACCCCGTAGAACAGCTATCCACGCGTTGAAGAATGTTGACCTCGCAATAGCATCAAACAGAGTATGAACATAGCTAACCGTCACCAGAGTCGCGTCCTGAAAGACAGAAACATGGATATGAAGTTGTGGCCGGTCGGTGTATATCCAGTCAGCCAGCTTACGAGGACTATCCGCATGGCGGACAATAGGAGCGAAGACAGCGGGCGAAGGCGAAAGAACAGATTGATCTTGGCCTGATTTTGGTAGCTGTTTACCCAGTTCGTGCTCAGAGATGCGCAACCCATACTCGATGATGGTGAAGTTGTATGCCGGCCGCGCTTTGGTATACTCAGCGGGAATGTGGTATTCAAGGCGGTTTTGATCCTGAGTTGGCGAGAGTTAGCCTCACTGATCCTGGCAGAAACTGGTTTGATGGATGGAGGGATCTTCATAACCATACATTCAGGCGCAGACGAGCTCCCAACTGGCTCCAGTCTCCAATCTCTGTCAAACGAGCCAAAGCAGCATCGAGCTTGGAGGCGTCCAGTACGTCGTCAAAACGAAAGGTGAAATCATGGCAGAGACGACGGAGATAGTCCAGGTCATCCCAATACCGTAGAGGGACAACCTTGTCAGTGGGCACAGTTGCTGGCCGGGCCCGGCTGAAGTTTGAAAAAAACTCCATCATGATGTTGGGATATTGTGCAAGGCGAGAGCCAAAGAAGGAAGGGGGAGGGGGATGCAGAGAAAGAGAGGCATGTCAAGGACCCCCTGGTCTCTCTACTTTTCTGCACGACCTGTCATCTTCATCTTCATCTCCATTACGGCAGTCACGAATGCTAACCGGGAACGGGAGAGGAGGGCAGGAGCAATGCTCGGAGTTCCACAGGAGGGGAAGCAAACCTACTAACACATGCGCCCCGTCCCGTTCTCAATTGTCCAATTGATCTGAACTTGATCCACTTGAAGGAAGGGAGAATGTGACGAAAAGATAACTTCATCCAGCACTATTATGCACCTCAGCCGCACGCCCCACTCGCCCCCCGCAGAGCAGTATCCTCCTCGAGAGTCGAGATACTACTTGCACGCCCGCTGAAGAGCCCATATCGATCTACAATGTCTCACAGCATACCTACAAATCAATCAATGTTTGTCCAAAAAAGTGCCTCACGATTCTTTTCGGACCATCCTTCGCAGTCCCACCACTACCTAACCGTATGGAGAAGGGAAGACTTTTCCAGCCCTTCAGCCCTGGCCTATACTACGAAGCACCCACCAAATCTACCCGACTGGTCAGACCCCCATTGTGATCCCGACCAAGGAAGCGGAGTAAATACTTAGTAGTCTGCGGACGCTATCCACATCCACTAAATCGACTTCCAAGTTTTAGTCTGCTCAATCAAATCCCGGGCCACCCAACAGACGAAAAATCCAGTATGCGTGCTACGTGTCTCATGCGGAATGTCTCGAGGTTCGTTCCTTGTTGTCATCGACTCATGTGCTACAAAATATCCCGGGACTAGTATCCGTTCGCTTGAGCAAGGGGCAATTAGCGAGTATATACCAGTACTAATATCTAGCTGCATTATGCCGAATCAACTCGGCTAACTAAACAAAATCAACCTGGTGGCAACTATGGCTGGGCCTTTGTCTCGCTTTTCCAAGTATGTCTCATTCATTAATTCATGTATGGTATGATAGGATCCGTCACAATCTGTGAGTATTATCTCTTTCCGATGTTCAATATCTTGGCTGTGCTGCAGCGTTTCTGCATGTACGTTGGATAAGACTATTCTTGAAGAATGGTTACGGTCATGAAAGTTTATCTTAGGTTTAAAGACATGTCAGCAGTGCTGGATAAAAAAGAGAAACTTCCTACAGTTAGCTACTTGCTTTTAAGGTTGCGCTGCTACCACGCTGCAAGGGCGTACCGGTAAATGGTCGAAGTTTAACCGTACTACAGGTGTAAATACTCTAGAAGATAGCGCTGCTAAACAATAAACATGAATTCATATTAAATTCATCACCACAAAACCTTTGTTTACATGGTTTCTATAGTATCATTCAAAAACACAGACGCAAGTGATCGATCGGGTGGCTGCGATCACCTCCTTGCAGCATCTTTAGGCGTGGGCCCGACTCGCCTGCAAATAGCGCCCAAGGGCCATCATGGGAAAATAATGCCGATAGTAGTCGTAGCCCAGATAGAAATGATTAGGAAATCCTGTTCCCGTGTAGACCGCTTCGGGCCAGGAAGCTCCAATGCCCTTTTCTGGCTGTTGTGAACGTACCAGCCACCGGATCCCACCCTCGATAGCAGGGTCAGTGAGGGGAAGGTGGGCCAATAGCCCCATTAGCGCCCATGCAGTCTGTGATGGAGTTGATTGCTGCTGCAGCTGAGTGCCTGTTGTTTGGTAGGATAGTAGCGGTTCGCCCCAACCGCCGTCGTCATTTTGTTTGGATTTTAGCCATTGTAGCGCCGGCGCCACTAGCCCACTGACTCGCTTGTCATCTTCCATGTAGTAAGCCAATCCGCACAGTGCATGAGACGTCCCATAGATGTAATTACACCCCCATCGTCCGAACCAGGCTCCATTGGCCTCTTGTGTGGATGCAAGGTATGTGATCCCCCGAGTGCATGCATGCCGTAACATTGGAGAAAGGACGGGCATTTTCGATTCACGTCTCATCATCAATCCGAAGGCTTCCAGAATCCGCCCAGTAATGTCGGCACAGGAGGTGTCACACAAGCTGTCCATATCACTGAAGGGAATTTTGTTGAGGAACAGCTTATCATTCTCCACGTCAAAAGCGGCCCAGCCGCCATCAGGGTTCTGCATGCCTAGGATCCATGTTGCAGCTGCAATCACAGAGTCCGAAGCGACGGATTGAGGATCCTGCTTCAGCTGAGCCAGAATGATGGCCGCGGTGTCGTCCACATCGGGATAGTGGCTATTCTCGTACTCGAAGCTAAACCCCCCGGGGGCTAGCTTAGGACGGTAGATCCGCCAGTCCCCGCAGGGCTTCAGCAATTGGCGATTCCGGATCCAAGTGATGGCCTGCTGGAGGACGTGCTTATCGGGCGACATGGCATCGCAGAGCCCGATCGACATCAATGCTGTGTCCCACACGGGAGAAACACATGCTTGGATCCGTTTGCCCTGTTCGTCTTCCCAAGCAAAGTTTTCCAATGCTTGGATTCCAAGACGGACTGGAGGGTCATCCAGCTCGTAGCCCTCTAACACGAACGCATAAATACTGGCATGCATCGGAGGAAAGATCCCAGCCCAGTCACCAGTGGGCTCCTGGCACTCAAGGATCCACTGTAGACATTTTCGTCGGGCGTATGATCGGAGCAAAGGGACGGAACGGAGACCGTTCAGGTAGTAAAGCAAGTTATCCACGACACTAAATGCAAGTCCAGTAATGTCTCCCTGGCACAGCAGATCCCGGAGTGATGAGCCATACGGCACATTTTTGTTAGTCGGATTGAGCCATAGCTCATCTAAGTAGTCCGCCGGTAGCGCGTACACGGGCCGATGGTGGCAGATAATCAGCAGCGGGGCAATGGTCCCTCGGGCCCAGGACGCTAAAGTGTACATGTTGATTGGACAACTGGAAGGCAGAAGAATTAGCTCCACGGGCAGCTGGGGCACTGCATCCCATGGAAACAATCCGAAAGTTGCCAGGAAGATGCGAGTGAAAACGCGAACTTTTTCAGCGCCGCCCGCTTTGAGAACAAATGCGCGGGCTTGTTGCATGACCGACATGTCCGGACTCGCCCCCAGCAACTTGAGTGCCAAGTAGGCTTCAGTCGTGGTCGATACGTCACCTGGATATTCAGGTGCTAGGCCCCATGAGCCATCGCAGTTCTGCTGTGATAGTATATGGCGGCAGTAAGCCGCATTATCGGCTCTCAAGTCTAGACCCAAAGCGTGTCGAAGGAAGATGTATTCGGCCGTGATAGTGACATTGGACCTCAACTCCCCGCACCAATGCCCATCGGAGCGTATCGAACTAAGAGCATAATCGTTGGCAAGCTTCAGAGTATGCTCTACATCGGAAGTAAGTTGCTCTTTCCCAGATGTTACCCATTCTGCGTGGCCTTCTTCTCTCGAAGTCATCATCACAAAGTCGTGGTTCGTTTCAAGGGTGAAAGAAGGGATTAAGTAGTTGCTGTACTCGTAGTCGTAGTAGCAGATGAAAGCCTGTGAGACAGCATGAAGAAATGATCTATATCGAATTTTTAGGCCTGCGGTAAGGAGACAATATGCAAATTTATAGGAGTCGAGCATGTTTAGCGCATCCTAGTAGCATGGAAATTGGTGGGTCGCATATTAGGGCGCGGCTTCCCTTTTTCGCTCTCCTTGTTCCCCCTGTTGACTACCGTTAAGGAACCCAGGCCTGCTCACATGCAATACTCAGTCCCTTGATAAGCTAGCCATATGGGCATCACTTACTAAGTAGTATTACCCAGGGTAACTGCCGTCTGTCAGCATATGGGCCCTGCTTTGTCCTTGCTTTGTCACCATGCATGATGCCCAAAGGACCGTTTCAAACATGACAGCACTCCTGCTACCCAGACTCACCTACCTAGATAGGCTTCACCTGGCTTTGGCTGTGGTTGCTCTTGGTGTCACGATTGCCCTCTTGGTAAATATATGCTACCGGAGCCGAAGATTGCGACAATTTGAGCAACTTCATGGCTGCCAGAAGCCGCCCAACGAAAGCGACCGCTTCCGGTATGACATCTTCGGAATCGCCAAGTCAATCGAGTTGGCATACCATTTTCGCCGCCGAACATCTCTCTCGTACACCAATGCACTCTTCGAGAGATATGGGGAGACTTATGTCTCCAATGTCTTAGGATTTCGGCTGCTATTTACCTGCAACGCGGTCAATATCAAGCATCTGCTTTCCACGGCATTTGTCGACTTCGATAGTTCTCCGTTACGAAGGCCTTTGTTTGAGCCAATCACACCACATGGAATATTCACCCTTGACGGTGCGGGCTGGAAGACAAGCCGGGAACAGTTGCGTAGTCGGCTCTCCAACCTTCGTAAGGCCATCGATCTTAGCCTGTGTGAGCAGAACTTCCAAGCTTTTCTTCGGCACGTCCCTCCGGATGGACAATCCTTCGATATTCAATCCTGCGCATTTGGTCTGTCTCTAGACATGCAGACCTTGTTCTCATTAGGAGAGTCTGTTGATGCTCTCAGCCCCACCCAGTCTCAAGAGAAGAAACAATTCTTCGAGGACCTTCTTCTTGTTAAGAACAGAATCGTGCAAGATGGCTTCCGTGGCCCGCTTCGACATTTAGTGCCCAAGCGAAGCTTTCTGAAGGCTTGCAAGAACGCACGAGGATATGTGATGAACTGCGTTATCAGAGGATTGGAAAGACAAGGCAGAGTGGACAAGGAGGCAGAACAGTGGCCTACGCTCAAACCACAAATGGATATAGGTGAAGCACCACAGCTTACTGATCAAGCTTTGAGTATCCTACTCGCAAATGATAGCATGAGCACTACACTCTCGGGCCTGTTCTACTGTCTTGCCCAGAACGAGCGTGTTGTGCACAAGCTGCGAGCAAGCATCATTGACGCCATTGGATTGACACCTCCAACGTGGGGACAACTCGGCATGCTGCAATATGTCCGCTGGGTCCTTCAAGAAGGTTCGACCCTTCTCTTGGCCATCTGAGTTAATTATGCACTAACATGATATTCCAGCGATGAGACTGTTTCCCCCAGTTGTTCTGAACGCGAGAGTGGCAAACAAGAACTCAACATTGCCAACTGGAGGTGGAGCTCATGGTGACGCGCCGATTCTTGTCATGAAAGGAGACATTGTGGTGTTTTCCACTTGGGCTAGGCATCGCTTAGGGCAGAATTTTGGTGACGATCCTGGGGACTTTCGTCCAGAACGATGGGAACAACTAAGTGGAGATATGGCTGGCTATATTCCGTTCAACAAGGGTCCGAGAATCTGCCCTGGCCGTAAGTCCCCTTCAGTTATGGTGGTTCTCAGGATGCACTCGCTAACACAAGAGCAGAGCATTATGCTATGATTGTTCTCACGTACATTGTGGCCCGCATATTCCAAACCTTCTCGACTGTGTCAAATTATAATACTAAGCCGTGGACGGAACGGATTAGCATGACTTTTGAGAACGAAAATGGGGTGCTAGTTGGGCTTAGCTAAGATTCCTCATGCATGTGTAGTCTTTCTTGAACAATGGCCTTTGGCTGGTGAGAAAAAGAGATAGTGAACGAGAACTGTTGTATATAATGAACTTTGCTCAGAGACAGCAAGGCTGGTCAGAAGCGATGGATTACTGGATGCAAATAAGGATGACCTCAAAATCTCGCCAGGTGACTTCGTGATTGAACAGGCTAAAGTAAAGACAACTATATAAATGGCACCAAAATGCTGAAATAGAAATGTTGAAAAAGGGCACAAACATTAGTCTGAAATAGTAATACGGCCGATTTGCAACCCCTGCTGCGCAGTCATAATCACCGCGCAGCCGTTTACGACTCTAAGCGTCTTTCTTCAGTCCACCTTCGATTGTTCCAAACACAGGAAACATTTTCCTCATCATCAAATCCTATCAAAGCAATTAGCACATTATCGATGCTGAGTAGATACCCTGCAGCAAGCAAGAAAAGGATACTTACCACACCCCACTGCGGCAATAGCCACAATGCCCATTTCGCAGGGACAGCGCCTCCACCAACCCACAGCTTTCCTGACTCCTTCCTCTCCACTGCTTGAACCACCTTAGATGCATATGCGTACCGATCAACGCCGCTATCTTGCAAGCTTCCATCACCCAATTTCTGTATAGCATCCTTTGCTCCGATGTAATATGAGGTCTCTGGGACTTGGCGTTGAACGTAATTGTCGAAGAACTTAGTCTTCACACCACCAGTCATGAGAGTGATGGTGCGAACACCCAGCGGAGCCAGCTCCATACGCCAAGTCTCGCTGGCGCTCATAAAGGCCGCTTTCGAGGAATTGTACATGCCTTGAGTGGGGTACATTAGTCAGGGGATGCCAGGTCTGTGACTGAAGAGGAGGATTGGACTTACTCATGAAGACAAATGGAAGAGCTCCATTCACTGATGTGTTGTTCACAACACACCCTTTGGACCTGATCAGTAGAGGAGCAAAGGCCTGCGTCACGGCGAAAGGCGCCCAAAAGTTCAAGTCGAATAGCTTTTTGCCCTCCTCGATTGAGGTATCCATGGCAGGGAGGATAATGCTGCCTCCACTATTGTTTACCAGAACGTCAAGCTTGCCGCCAGTGGCTTTGGTCACCTTCTCCACTGCATTGGTGATGGAATTCGAATCCAGCACATCCAGGGTGAGAATGGTAGCGTTGGGAGAGTTGGTGAGTGTCTTGGGGGCCTTTGATGGGGTGCGCACAGTGGCAAAGACATGGTAACGGTGATCGTGGAAGGTCTCAGCCAGTGCAGCGCCGATGCCTCCATTGGAGCAGCCTGTGATGAGGACGGTCTTTCGGTCTGTGGACATGGTGCGGATTCTGAAGGAGTAAGAATGAGTCAGGCTTGTCTGGTAGTTGTAGAAAGAAGAGAAACTCACCATGAGAGACATCATGAGGGGGGTATTTATCTTATTTCCAACTTCCCAAGAAGGATAATAGTATAGTAGAGATGGTGTCACCGAGTGAATCCAGCGGGAAGTATACCAAGGCCGTGACTATACCGGAATCGGCAAATGATATTAGAAGCAGCGACACGCCATCGGTTCCTGTCAGCATCACCAGCTGACAAACCAACCATAAAAGCCCCCCTTCACCCTCTTCAAGTTCCTGTTCGGGTAAATGATATTGAGAATACTTTAATATCGTGATTTCTAACCATCGCCCAGCATCTCGACCGAGCTCCCTGTTCCACATCCTACTGAATCGCGCATACAACCTAAGCAATCTCAAGCCAATCATGCACTTTATCATATCAACGGATAACAAAAAGCCCGACAGAAGCACTCGTCGACTCATCCGAAGCCATGTAATGCAAGGCATAAACAAAGGGCGGCCTCGATACGACCGACGGAAAAAGCCCAACCCCATACAACAGGATCAGATTCCATCGCCACAATCAGCAGAAGTATATCAGGACCCCAACACAATCCCATCGACTAAAGTAGTAGTGGGGCCTGATCCATCATTTGCTCAATTCGCCGTCCAAGTGGATTCCCGTACCTTTGCTGATATACTACAATGTAGGTCTTCCCTACCCTAACCCCTCCCTCAATCGCGTAGCTAACGCTAACACCATGTAGTCGCCAAACTATCAATGCAAATGTTCTTCCCATTAGGATTCCTGATTGAATTCGACTACAGGGATAAATCCTGGTTCCATGACTCCATCCGCTCCGATCCCGCATATCTGCATCTCACCGTATCCGCATCAGAGGTCTTCATGGGCTCAGTCCATGGTCGACAACATGCCGACGAACTACTTTCTAATCGCAGGACCATGCTCCATTTTACAAAGGGTGTGCAGATCCTCCGCGAGAGACTAACGGGTGTCGATCTCCAGACAAAAATCTCCGACTTCACCGTACGCACTGTGCTGATGCTGGCCATGACAGCGCATCTGATGGGCGAATCCGAGGTCGCACAGAAACATATGGAGGGAATTCGAACGATCATGGATCTTCGGGGTGGTCTGCGCCTATTTGAGAGCCAGAAAATCCTCATCGAGCTGTTCAGGTAAGTAAGCGACCTACCTCCCTATAACATCCAACCTATTACATTGATTGACAATCACCAGATGGGACCTAGGCCTCGCCCTCCAAAACAACACCACGCCCATATTCTTCAGAGACACCTTCCTCGAACCACTAACCCCATTCCCTACCATCTTCAACCCAATCCCTTCCCAAATCAACAACCCCCAACTCCACCTAGACCCAACCCTAAAGACAACCTTCCACGTCCTCCAAAACTTCTGCACTCTAATCAACACAAGCATCACCGAGACCCCCCAGCGCCGCCTTACCCCAGATATCATCCCTTCCACTCTATCCTCCGTAATGTACCGTCTTCTCCAAATGCCCTTCCCCCCAAACAGCAACAACGAAACCTTCCGTCTAGGTCTCCTCACCTTCTGCCATCATACCTTCCTCCAGTGGCAAGACAAGACACTGCCTTTTGTATTCTTCCCTGCTTCGTATCAACCTCATCTCTTGTCGTTCATGGAACAATGCCAGCACCATCTTGACGATGCCGAGGAGGAGAAGGGGGAGGGTTCCCCGGAGCTCATTCTCTGGCTATTGATGGTCGGGATCCTTGCGTTGCCGCCGGTGCCAGCCTTTCGGGGGATGGATCTCTGGTTGAGAGGGTGTTTGCGGGAATGGTTGGAGAGAGTGGGGATCAGGACGTGGGGAGAGTTGCGAGAGATCATGAAAAGGTTTTTGTGGGTGGATTTGATGCATGATCTTGCTGGGGAGGGGGTGTTTGGTGATGTGCTTCAGGTATAAGTAGTGCTGATAGCAGTTTCATTTGGTGTATATAGTATTGGTGGGAGGTATTCTGTTATTAATTAGTATTCACAACGATTTGAGGTTGGGGAGTGGTAGTAATCTCTAATAGTCTTCATTGAAAGGTGGCAAGTACGCTGTCACTCCAATTATCGATGGCAGCTTTTACTCTACTCGGCTCATGTGTAACACTAAGAAGCACCATGTGAAAAAAATCAACCAATCTGCAGGTGCAAGGATACTATATTCTGTATTACCAATCATATACTTTTCAAGCAGGTCTATCCACATCGCCATGGGCGCATCTCTAGTAGTTTTTGTGCCCCTACCAGTTTTACCCCGCCGTTTGACCAGGCCAGCATCTCCAGGTCGACCACAAACAAACGCGGAGAGGAAAAGCAAGTACTGAAAGGGGAAATCATGTCGTTCTACATCACAGTGCCGGCACTCGGCCAGAATAAAGTAATGGGGAATGGGAGAAAAAAAAAGAATAATAAAAGAAATCCGTAATAAACAACTGAAGGGGTTCAACATGATTGCATTGTTCGTGACCACATTGTCATCAAGCTGCGATCCCACAGCTGGGCTCACCGTTATCTACCAATCGAGCAAATTTACTGCTCAGCGGGCTTCTCACCCTCGGCCGGAGCGTCCTTCATCTCAGCGTCGGGCTTCTCCTCGGCCTTCTTAGCCTCCTCTTCGGCCTTCTTGGCCTCCTCCTCGGCCTTACGCTTGGCCTCTTCTTCGGCACGCTTCTTGGCGGCGGCCTCCTCCTGGGCCTGGCGCTCGGCCTCCTGCTTCTCGCGGTAGCGCTGGATGATGGGACCGGCGACGAAGCGGATCTCGTCCATCTTGGCCACGTAGACCGACTTGGTGGTGTCCTCACCCTCCTCGTAGAGCCAGTCCTGAACAACTCGTTAGTTTTTGTAAGATAAAGAATGGAACGAATATTGTAAAGACTTACCTCGGTGTCGGTCAGCTTAGCCCGCAGCTTGTCCTTCTCCTCCTCGTTGGCGAACTCGGAGTAGACGCCGTCGATCTTGTCACGCAGCTCGTAGATGCTGGACTCGAGCTCGTTCTTCTTCTCGTCGGTCTCGGCAATGAGCTTGTCCTCCATGTACATGGAGTTCTCACGCTCAGTCCAGGCGTTCAGGACGGACTCATCGGTGGAGGTAGTGCCGGTCGAGATGGGCAGGTCACCCTTGCGGACCTGCTTCTTGACCTTGCGAGTCTTCTTGGGCTGCTCACCATCCTTGCCATCGGTGTCCATGGCCTACTCAGTTGTCAGTAATCGGAACATCTCGCGAAATGGAACTGGGGGTTATCACTCACATCACCCTCCTCGGGAACGGGCTCCTCGACTTCCATGTCCTCAACGTAGTAACCAGACTCCAGGTTGAGGATACCGTGCAGGTTCAGACGAGCCTTGAGCTTGCAAATCATGAAGTCGTCGTTGGCATCAGCCTTGACACCCTTGACGGAGAAGCGGCCAACCCAGGGGTTGACCTTGCCGGGCAGCATCTCGGGCTTGGCGTAGCGGGCCTCGAGATCGAAAGGCTGCTTGCGGTAGAAGGTAAGGATCTTGGTGGAAGGCATAACGTTGCCGCGGTTGAAAACAGTCAGGCTGGTGTCCTCGTCGGGGATGTCGGCAGACTGCTCCCAGGTGAACTCGATGGGGTAGTTGACGATGTCGTGAACGGAGAAGTCACGCACACGGAAGACGGGGGAGAGGATGGCACAGCTGAAAGCACAGCCGCGAGCAATGGCCTCATCCTGGTTGAGGGTGAAAGAGAGGGTCTTGCCGAAGAACTTGGCGACGGCGTCCTTGATGGCGGGCACACGGGTGCAGCCACCAACCATCTCGACGAAGTCGATGTCCTCGGGCTTGAGCTTGGCCTCAGCCAGGGCTTCCTCAATGGGAACGGTGACCCGGTCCAGAAGGGGCTTGACCATGGTCTCAAGCTCCTCACGCTTAACAATGGCGCGGACGTCAACGTCCTCCATCAGAGACTCAATGCTCATGGGAGCAGCAGGGTTGGCCGACAGGACCTTCTTCATCTTCTCGGCAGCGGCCAGGGTACGAGACCAGGCCTTAGGGTGAGAGCGAACATCGATCTTGAACTTCTCCTTGAACTCATCGGCGAAGTGCTCGGTCAGGGCACGGTCGAAGTTGCGACCACCGAAGTGACGGTCGTAGGCAGTAGCCTTGACGTTGAGCTCACCCTTGCGGAACTCGACGATGGAGGCAGTGTAGTCGCTGTAGCCGATATCGACGAACATGACCCGACGGGGCTTCTCCTCGGGGCCGGGCAGGTCGAGCTTAGTGATACCGTAACCGAGAGCGGTGGCGGTGGTGTCGTTGATCAGGCGGAGGACCTTGAGGCCAGCGATCTCACCGGCATCAAGCATGGCGCGGCGCTGGACGTCGGTGAACCAAGCGGGAACGCTGATGGTGACGTCGGAGACAGGAAGCTTCAGCTCCTTAGAGGTGATGTCCCGGATCTTGGTCAGGTACATGGCGACCAGCTGAGTAGCCGAGAACTTCTCCTTCTTTCCGAGGTAGCTGACCTCGGCACCGGCCTGGCCGTTGACATCGCAAAGCTGGGCCGTGGTGTACTCCTGCTCGATCGCAACATCGGGGTCGCTGAATGAGCGGCCGATCAGGCGCTTCAGGTTGCCGACCGTGTTCTTGAGGTTGGAAGTTTCTTGCGTCTTAGCGGCCTCACCGAGAGCTCTGCAGCGGGCATTGAAGCCAACAAGGGAACTGTGTGGGAGAGAAACAAGTCAGTACACGGCTCGTATACTAATGTACTGGGAAGGGCAGCTGATATGGCGGCGACATAAAATTCATGATAAGCAAAGAATGGGCGAACTCACGGAGTTTGTCTGTTGGAAACTTCGTTGGTGATCTGTAAACCATCACAATGGACCAGTTAGTAAATGACTTGGGGCTGATAATAACGAGCGGATGGGCAGCGCTCGGAGGGGAAGAGAAAATTGGGCAGAGGGGAAAAGAGTGACGCACAATATCAATACCCTTGTTACGGGCAACACCGACCTTGGTGCTCTGGGCACCGAAATCTATACCGACGACAGACATTGTCTAGATGAGGAAGAGGTAGAGAGGGGGAGAAGAGAGTGGGGGGAAGAAAAGAGGAGAGAGGGGAAAGAAGAAGAAGTAGAAGAGTGATGAGAGGATGAAAGAGGAAAAAAGTGGAAGAATGGGACTGAGGGGGAGAGGTTGGGGGAGGATCCAAAGAGGGCAGAGAAAAGAGCGAGACGGAGGGGGAGAATTTGCACGGCGAGAACTGCAGGACCCGCCACTAGAAGCTCGCGGGCGGTGAGGCGTCGATTTTCCAACGTGGGCACCGCTGGCTCGTCAGTCACTGACTTATCTGTCAGGCAGATACTATCTGTCTAAGCACAATTCGATGGGTTCCACTTGGGCAAAAAAAAAAATGAAAAATAATAAAAATAATGTTTAATTAACACACTAGAGGAGATCAATGCAGAAATATATAAAACGCAGGTGTCCCCCAGGTCGGAGGATTACAGGAATAAATAAGGAACCTGGCGCTTAGCAGCAGCGCAGCACAGCTTCACCGGCTTCTTTGGGCGCTCGTCGAACCTTCTGGCTGCTGCTCGACGCCTCCCACCTTTCACCGCTTCATTAGTGCCGGCAGAACCCTTACCTGACCGCTTTGGCGGGGCTTATCGATAGTTCAGAGTTTTTCTCCCGTTTGTGATGACTCATCATGTGCATACCTGTTTGGCCACTCCCTCTTTTCAGTCAATCAACTACAGTACTACTACTAGGGTTGGTATGACATTCTATAGATGGATTCTGCAAGCGTTTGATATTCCCGACTGCTCCAGCTAGCACGTCCGTATCTCCCAGTCTAAGTGGATTGCAGACTTCTGTTACAGAGAATCATCTGACCATTGTATGCCAATGTTATGTGTCATACTTCGTAGCGAATTCGATTCGATTGGATAAACCTTCGTTTGTCTTACTCTATTGATTATCGAGACCAAATGGGCACGAATTCCCCATACGCATCCATGACCTCAGAGGATACCAACTTTGGCTTATGTGATAATGCGAGAAAAGCGTATTAGAATACAATCGATGTGAATAGACAATGGATCACAAGCCATTACTGAACGAGAGTCAAGTAATTAGTTCATTAGTAGCATGTGTGTTCAAAACAGGCTCTAACACTCTGATCAGTCGGCCTCTGTTCCCCGGCAACCCTCATGCTCAGTACTAATCAATCACAATGCTTGAATTTTTATGCATTGCATTCTGCGTCAAACCATTTGTTCTGGTTGCATATATCTCCTCTTCTGCCTCGGAATCTTACTAGGTCGCTTAGTATATCTTGGCTGTGGCAAGTGTCCATGGGGCTGAGACCCAGACACAGCTCTAGATTGCTGCATCATTGATTGTGGAACACTTGACGATACCTGGGGCTTTCCGCTCGGGACACTGCTCTCTGACTCAATAATATGCAATTCATACGCCCGATTGTCTACCGGGTCCTCGTTAGATTGCACATACAGGCCACGCTCTCCAACATCTGCCTCTGGTGTGTGTAGAAGTCCGGTGTCTTCCTGCGCCTGGCGACTAATGGAGAGTCTGGCCCGTTCTTCGGCGCTCATCAAGGATTCCACATTCTGGGGCAAGGAAATTGAATTGCCTTCAGAATCGGATGTCGCAACCGAGTCAGATGAGCAATGTGGGTGGAGGCCGATGCGAGGCACGTCTGGAAGAGGGGTCAGGTATTTGGCGAGACTGGTCCCCAGAGCGCCTTGATAGTCGTAATACCGATCTGGAAGCTGTGGTGCAAACGAGAGGCGACCATTGACCTTGGATGAAGGCCGGATGGGAACGCCTTTCTCTTCTGTTTTCGTTCGAAAGGTGTCTACCTGAACATTGAGCTCATCCCCCTGGACCCTAGCCTTCTCGACCGCTTCCTCTGGTGTAGTATGCTCATCAGCTTTGGCTGCGTCAGCTCGAGGCCCGCCCCACGTTCGCTGGCCTGCAGTGAAGATACCGTACACTATGTAAAGCCAATTGAAGAACGGATTCAGGATGAACATTAGGGGATAGAGCCAGGCTTTGAAGCGTTTGAGTCTTATCCCAAAATAAACCATGAGGATGTAATTGAGACCAAGCGAAACTGCAATGAAGCCAACAGGCAGGTTCTTGATCTTGCTGGAAGTTGTTATTATCGAGATTACCAGAATGAAGAATAGCAATGCAGTCGTCCGGATTGTGTTCTGCATGAAGCGCACCAGACACAATAGTGGGTAGCGTTTCCACAGTCTGACGTCGGTCAGCATACACACTTCGTTGGTTATGTAGCCGAGAAACCATCGACGTCGTTGTTTAAGCAGGCTACAGAATGTCTGAACCGCCTCTGTTTTGCAGAAAGCACTCGTGCACATCTGAATTTGATAGCGTTCAACCGCCCCGATCATGAACAAGTGCGTTAACCAGCGATCTTCTCCTAAGTGACACTTGCCATAGTCGAAGAGATCCTCACATTGCTCAGCTTTGTCCGCGAAATAGTATCTCGCCATTTTGCGGAAAGCTGAGAATCGTAGGATTGTCAGTGCTCCCGGAAGGCAGGTAACAGCGCCGCAACCGGACTCCACGGTACGCTCAACAAGCTGCCCATGAATGTATTCCATGTCCTGTAGAACAGTTATCAGGGAATTTCTCTCTGTGGTTGAAGTGATGATTCCTGTCATCGCCAACATATTATGCTGGCTCCCTGGTTTCAGTTCCATGTCATACATGAAGTTCTGCAGGCACAATTTGTCAAGAATGCAGTCTGAATCGATGAACAACAAAAATAGGTCGTCATGATGCTTTAGATAGTCGGCATATACCTTGTCGATCAACCTGAAGGTTTGTTTCTGGCAATGACGCTTGCCACCGTGCTTGAATCTTGAAACAGTGATCCTTGCCCCATGATATGTCACATCAATGCTTTGCGGGTAACTCTCCAGCGAAATCGGAATTCCCAAATGGTTAATCACATGGAGATAAGGTTCATCGATGTTGCATCCATCATAGGACAGAAAAACATGAATGCAATAACTGGGATAGTCGCTATTAACGACCGAGTCAATTGCCTTGATCAGAACAAGGGGGTCTTCTTTGTATACTGGCATGACGATGACGGTTTTGGGTGCGGTGCGGTCATCTAAAGCCTCCTTCACCCTCTTGGTTCGCCCTAAGGAGTGAATCACGAATCTATTGACACAAAATAGCCATGGTATGATTAAAAGCGCAGAGAATGCCCAGAAAGCGAACCATTGAAGTACCGACACGAGCTGGCGAGGAAAAAATTGCGTGATCTGCGGTGGTAGTGGAAGAATAGCGATCATCACTGGAAGGAAAATTCCCCTACATGTGTGTTATAATACTTCCTTCCATGAAACATTGCACTTACACAAGCTCACCTGCACAGCGTGATGAGGAGGGCCATGATGACTGCGAGGACTCGAATACTCCAGTGATCGGCCTTCTGATATACCTTGATCAGACAGTAAATAAACGCAGCAAGGAAGAGGAACCACTCCAGTAGCGCTGCAAGCAACAATGGCCCCAAGATAGAAATGTAAATAATCTAAGTCCATGGTAAGCGTAGTCGTCTTCCGGTGGAAAGACTTCAAGCCTACATCTCTAGTAGGCCATGCGGCTAACAACTCGGACGATGGTTCTCCAGCCATGATGAGACAAGCTGGCGCTCGTTTCGGCTTGATCAGTTGTCTCTGCAGGTTTCTATGAGATCTAGTGTTATAATTCTACCACCGCCAAAGGGTCGTCCAATGTGCCCGAAGCGAGTCGTATTCGTTGGAAGGCAATGGCTCTTTGGTATATCAATCGAATAAGAGAGCTCTCTTCTCGGTCGCCGTGGGTTTCAGGCAACTATCAGCATGCCTTCTCGACGAGGATTGAGCCTGTAAGCTTCTTTCTTGGTGTGTCATAGGAAAAGAAGCAAACGCACGGTCTGAAATACCTTAAATAATGTGTGACATATTGGCTCGGGCAATGGGATTAATGAGAGCGAGACGATGGCACAACTCTTGTGAGATAACGCAATGTGGCAGTCTGAAGTATATCCAATGAAGCCCGCCTGACACCTAGGAGTTATGTTGAGGACATGGTACCGAAGGAAGGCTTAGGCTGGAGTGTAACTATGAGAAAGGTTTTAATTCAGACAGCCTGAGAGGCTCCAACGGAGCTGAAATGAAACGGAAAAGGCAGGTGCTCTTAGCCCAAAGTTTCATTTTTACATACCCCTTCTGGGGAAGTGCCGGGAACCTGCTTTGGCTTGATCTTTCGCTGATTGCATCCAAATTGATTGACTCTTCTTGGTAGCAGTATTTTCTGGGTTGCCTTTACTAATGCCAGCTAAGACCAAAAGCTTCAAGTTATATATCCTTTGGCACGTGCTTCATGCATATACTTGGATAGCACCTCAAACTACTCGTCGACCAACAGGCTGCAAAGCGATTCCATGGGCTGGCGAATCGCGTTTCGACTGGACAATCTGAACGGCTTCCTCCTCAAGCAGACCCCGAGCAGCCAGATGACGAACAAATTCCATAGTCCACTCTTGACATCTCTTGTTGGTGGTCTGTGTACGTCAGGCTAGAGCACAGGCAGTGAGGCACTCGACTTTTACTCACATCATTAACAGGCGCCATGAAATTTTCACTAACACGAGGGGCCGGTGTCTGACTGGCTGCGATTTCAAGATCATTTCTCGGAGTATGGTCTACAAACATACTACTACTCTCTGTTGGAGAGTCCGTAATGTGTTGAGAGTCGACATATCCCAGCAAGACCGTCTCATATGGCTCTTCATTGGAGGAGAGGGCGTGATTCCGTTTGAACTCGAGTTGATAGCCCATCATAGGGGCGCCCACAACGTGTATCGAAGTACCTATAGTGGAACAAGCGACCGATGGAACAAAGATAGAGAAATGGGCACGCTGACTCGGACTATTTCGGGATGTTACGAGGTATATTGCTCTGGGAGGCATGACGGTAGTATGCGAAGTGAGTAGAAGAGTGACAACTTTCAGTTGGAACGGTCTAGAGTAGACAGGGTGCTATTGAGGCCAGTCCACGGCCTGAGAGATATCCAATATCTCTTCTGAGGGGAAGATTATATTGACCGCCTGCGCTTGGAAGCCGGCCAGGCAACAACTAGCAGATGCATGTCTGATTGGTACCTACTACGGTGATTGTCATCCGTTATAGCAGCATGTCACACGTTCTGTGACTTTCCGGATATATACCTAGCTGGTGACACAAGAATCCAGGCACCCGTTTTGATCCAGCTTCACTTTTACCTCAAGAATTCCTGATCCTTTGCTTTGCAGAATCTGTGAAAGATACATCATGAAGTGTCAAAATACCATTCTCAAAAGAGATCAGTCCGGCTACTTTCCTAAAGCGGCCAAGTCAGCTGTTTGCGCCACACAAACACGGCTGCCTGGCTGCCTGAGGCGAGCAAGACAGTTGCTCCGCTGCGGCGCTCAGAAAATTTCCCCCGCCGCGCATTAATTGGCCTGGCCATTTTCTTTCTCGCATCTGGAGCTCTTCTTTAAATTACTTGCAGGTGTCTTTTCCCGGTCGATTCCTCTTTTCCGCTTATATTTCTATCTTGCGCTCGCGCATTCTAGGTAAGACACGAGTGCCCTGCTTGCTTTTGCTTCCTCCATTCTCCGCATCGCCGTCGCGCGGTTCTCCGTTCATCATTGGCCAAATCGGTCCGTATCATGGTTCTGACGCGGGATTGCACCCTACCCTCATCCTGAACTTATCGCTGGTGGCTCTTTGCTTTTGACGATATGTAGGATTCACTGACTGACATCTTTCCACTCTAGTATAGACGCTATACATCAATCCCCCCCCTTTACCCCCTTATCCTCTTACAACACAGCTCCGTGACCATGTCCGAAGAGCAAAAGCCCGTCGCCCAGCCCAACGTTGAGGCCGAGAAGGATGTCCAGAACGTCCTCGCCGAGCTGAAGGGCGAGAACGAGGTCCCCGCCAACGGCGCCGAAAAGAAGGAGACCGAAGATGCCGAGGAAGCCCGCATTGTCGAGGCCGCCGCCAAGCTGGGCGAGAAGTCTGAGAAGGCCGAAGAGCAGAAGACGACACAGGAATCTCGCAACGACAACCGGGGTCGCGAGGGCCGCTTCAACCGCCGCAACAATGCCAAGTTTGACCCCTCCACGCAGCAGGTGACGGATGACCCGGTCGAGATCCGCAAGCAGGTCGAGTTCTACTTCTCTGACTCCAACCTGCCTATGGACAAGTTCCTGTTCTCTAAGGTCGGCGGCAGCGCCAACCGTTCTGTTCCTCTGGAACTTCTGCACTCCTTCAAGCGCATGCGCCGCTTCCAGCCCTTCAGCGCCGTCGTCGAGGCCCTCAAGTCGTCCGAGACGCTTGAGCTGACCGATAACGATACCTCCGTGCGCCGGAAGACTCCCCTTCCGGAGACCGTCTCGCAGACTCACGACCACAACGTGGTCAAGGTGTTCGAGGACCAGGCCATGAGCCGTAGCATCTACGCTAAGGGCTTCGGCGACGAGGAGCCGACTACTCAGCTTGACATTGAGGCCTTCTTTGCCCCCTACGGACCCGTCAACGCCATCCGTCTGCGTCGTGCCTACGACAAGACCTTCAAGGGCAGTGTGTTCGTTGAGTTCGAGTCGGAGGAGAAGCAGAAGGCTTTCCTGGCCCTGGACCCCAAGCCCCAGTGGAAGGGACAGGACCTGCTCATCAAGAGCAAGAAGGACTACTGCGATGAGAAGGTGCGCGACATTGAGGCTGGCCGCGTGAAGCCCAGCGGTTCCCGTGGACGCGGTGGCTTCCAGCGCGGTCGCGGCCGTGGCCGTGGTGGAAACCGTGGCCGTGACAACCGCGACTGGAGGGAGCGCCGCGCGGCTGACCAGAAGAACGGCTTCAACGACAAGAAGAGTGAGCCCAAGGAGGAGCGCAGTGAGGTCCAGAAGGATGCTCGGTATGTATCTACTTTTCCTTTCCCCTATCACCACCCCATATCACAAAGCAAAAGTACGCTTACTAACAAAACATCCCAGCGGCGTCCCCATCGTCCAGAGCACCGCCGAGTCCGGCCAGAAGCGTGCCGCGGAAGACGAGGCGAACGGCGACCACCCTGCCAAGAAGGTGGACGCTAAGGAGTAAACGAAATAACGTCATCTAAATTAAAAAGAAAAAGAGAAAAGTTGCAATCGAAAGCTGGCTGTCTATTATCAAGGACACCACTTGCTTATATTTTTGTCGTTGCTTCGAAAGAAAAATGGGATAAGGGTTATGGGATACAAAAAGCATGACTTTGGCTCGAATTACTACCCCCGGACTTTGAAGACCATAGTACCATAATGGCGTTGTATAATTTCATTATTTATTTTTTTTTATTTCTCTCTTTTCATTATTATTTACCGATATCCTTTGCTTCGGTGGATGTTACATTCTAGATTCGCGGAATAGGATGTTCTGGGATTCATCTTTACCGTTCAATTTCCTTTTTCTTTGGGTACTTAGTGAGTATACGATCGTAGACTATTCATCAAGCAAGATGTCGACTGGCTATAAGATGGAGTGTCGATCATGCTTGGCAGTAGCACGCTCGTAATGTAGTTCTATTAGTATCCGGAGTTTCATTACTACTTCCAAGTACTAGAAGTTGGTGACTGCAAGAGCCAGGGCTGCACATATATTCATCGACTACAGCGCGTATATAACGGTATCATATGCAAAACCACCTCTCATCCAACATTTTACCCCAACCTCTCATTTCTTCTTCTTCGTCTTATCCACAACATCAATCCACTGCGTCCTCAATCCACGTCTCACCAATGCCGTCTCCAACGCGCGTCGCTGGTCTCCCTGGACGAGCACCTCCATGACGCCCTTGGGCGCGCCAGTAGCCTGCGTTACGCTGGTGCTGCTAGCGCATTTCTTCTGCAGTTCTTCGGCCAAGAGACTAGGGATGATGCCGAACACTTCGAGGTTCCAGACCTTGGTGACGGTCTTGGAACCGGTGCGGCGTTCAAGGATCACATTGACCTTGGGGGCGGCGCCTGCTTTGGGCTTTACCTCCGAGAGGGTTTGGCCGGGTCGTAGGATGACGTAGTGGGCTGTCATGAGGGAGTGGTCGTCGATGAGACGCTTAAGGAGGCCATCGCGGGTGGTTTTGCCGCGGGCGAGAGTGCTCTTGTCATCGGCAGAGGAGGAGGTGAAGATGGTGTTGGCGAGATAGGGGTTGAGGGTGATGATGCGTTTGTTTTTGGGGTCGACGAGCGGGGGATTTTGAGATTGGATGTATTGGTCGAGGTGGGTGGAGATGTCGGTGTATTTGTAGTAGTTGCTGGGGTGGGTGCTTGATAGAGCGGGGAAGATGGTTGGAGTGAGTTTGTTGGTTGGGCGATATAGAGTCTGCACGGTCAGGGTTTGGCCGACTGAGGGGTCGCCGCTGTCTGTAGGTGTGGACTTAGCGTTGTTTGCTGGAGTGGCGGATTTTCCTGCGTTCTCGACGGCGTTCTTGGATGGGAGTCTGTAAGGGACGAATTCTAGAACGCGACGGTCATTGAAGTCCACATCGAGGATGACAGTCTCTTGGCCGTTGCGGTCTTTGGACTTGACCAAGCGCTGCTTGTCCAGGTATTTGATGAACTTTTTCACGTTCTTCCAGCTGGTCTTCTTGATTTGGTAGTATTGGGCTTGTTTTGCGGTGTATATGGGCAGGTGGGGTGTGATCATGTTCGATATCAGAGCAGATGGTTGGACGGGTAGAGATAGACCGTGGTTGGTAGCGGATGGGTTATCTTGCTTGAGCTTGTAGAGGGAGTAGAGGAAGGCCTTTTCAAAAGCCTCATCAATTTCTTCAAGTAGTCAGCATATAGAACCCCATGTTGTTTTGAGCGAAACTCACCTTTGGTTGTGGGCTCTTTCTCTTCAACCTCAGGAACCTCCTCCTGCGGGACATCAGGCGCTTCGTCCGATGCTTCCTCGCCTCCAGTTCCTTGAGTGGCCTCATCACCACCTACTGCTAGGCTCTGCACGCCCTCTTCAATCTCTCCTACATCTTCGTCCTCTTCCAGTTCATCGTCCCAACCCTCCAGATACTCTGGAGCGGGCTGACCCGGCTTGGAAGACGAGCTCCATGCCCACAACTCATCACCTTCCCAGTGCAGGCCTCGAACGGCATGTCCCTTCGTGCCCTGGACCTCACCAAGGGCAGAGATGTCGATCTCGCACACGCCCACAAACAGCGGTACCGTATGCCTATTAAGGCTTGCAACAGCAACCACTGCGCCCTTGACTGCACGCTCGTCGAAAGGCGGGTCATTGGCCAGACCCGGAGTCATCAGGTCTGCTCCTCCGTGCAGTTTCTGCATGACCATTTGCGGGGTATGAAGCAGTGGCACCAGATCTGGGTTGTGCCAAAGTGTATATACCGTAGGGTAGAGGCGTCCATCGGCGCCGGGGCCGTGGTCGACTCTGAACCACAGAACCCGTTCATCGGCCCCGGGATGTGTTCCAACATACACCGTCCCTTGTACTTCGCGGAGCTGAGGTCCGGCGGTCGTAGTAAAGCGTGCGGTCAAACAATTCTCGGGGAGTAGAGCATTTCGAATGGAGGTAAGGTTTGGCGCCGTTGGGTTGGATGCGCCTGGAGCTGAGTCGTCGCCGCTGGTTTCGACCGGTGCACTTTGTGGGACCTCGATTTTGTAATCGCTGATAATCTGATCGGCAATCTTTCGACGGTCAGACGATCGCAGGGGAGAAAGATTTTTGATCTGCGATTGTCTAGTGTGAGCGATGCGCTCAAAAAGGCACGAGTGACCTTCTTGTAGACTGGTGCGGGGGAGGGGTAACGTACCGTGGGCTTCTTCTTGAACATGATGGAGGAACGAGGGTGCAGTGCTTTGGTAGACTTATGTTAAATAACGGGTTTAAGCCATGCAGCCCACGCGAACGGAAATGGAGGGCCCGGGGAGTGGATAAAGGGAAGAAGAGGCTATTCGGAGAGCTGCTGAGGGGACGAACGAATGGATTTGACTACCGCAACAACAATCGCCCGCGTGGTCCCCGCTTCCCGAGGTTTCAACACATTCTACGCATACATCACCGAATAACATCATCACCAGCAATCAAAGCATGAACCCCTTGAAAATTCAGGAGTCTCTCAACCTTCACCAAAAGCACAATTTCGTTTACTGCCCAGTATTATGTAAATAGACAGCGGTAGTACCTGCCGGAGAGTCCTACTGAACCGTTCAGGTTAGGCCCTATTGTATACTTCGCATGCACCCACAAATTAGAGTCTACTTACCAGTCCTCAGCTCAATCATAATAGTCATCATAGAACCCATCATCCATTCCACAGTCTGGATGGTCATAGTACTCCTGGAGCGGCTCACTAACGTCTGCCTCGCAATCCTCGTATTCGTAGTGGCTCTGGCCTCCCTCATAACCTTCATACTGGTCGTGATAGATTGGAATTGGTCCTTCATCCCAACCCATATACTCTTGTTCATCCGGCTCTGCCCCCCTATACTCGCAATACTCCGAGTCGAGCTCGCTTGTTCTTCTTCATGATCCTCGTATTGCTCTTGAGATCTTTCCTGCTGCTCGGCTTCCCAATACTCCTGGTCATACCGTCTCATGGTGTCTATAATCTGGTTCGCTTCATCGTAGTCCCCAAAATTGTACGGTTCCAATTCGTGAGATAACATGAAGTCATGCATGCCGTTGAATCCAGCTTCCTTGATCATCCGATACTGACTCTTCTCATTGGGGGGAATGTCATCTGGCTGCTGAGGTGTGACCTGGGAGGGCGACATGCTGGCTTGGGGAGATGGGTAAAGAATATTATTGGCAGCGCTCTGAATACGACTGTATGAGAGATAATTCCGAATGTGAGGAGAGGTAGTAATCGTAAGTAGTAGTCCATGAGAAGCCAGGCCTTTATTACTTGTAGCAGCAGTGCCTTCCATTTTAGGCAAGAATCGGTCACGGGGTATTACCATGATCAGTAAGTAGAGAGAATTCTATCAAGACAGGCTGGAACGAACACCGACGAGAATCTCGTGGGCCATGTTTCGCAGGCCATTGTTGCCTTCCTCATGACCGTCAACGATTACCAGTCACTTATCTACGACTACTAAATCCGATTCTATCTCGAGAGCAGATACAAACAATGCAGTATTATACGAAAGAGGACGGTACAGTTGAAAGTCACAGCTTCAATATTGATATTTTATAGGTACATAAGTGGATACCCGATCCGAAGCGAAAAGAGCATCAGACGGCTAAAAGGCTCGTGTAGCCGTCAGATAGAAACAAGAAGGAATGTCTATATGATCCGAACTTCCACGTCTGGCTGGGCGCTTAGGCGTTGAGGTCGCGGGCGTGCTTCTTCTCAGTGACCAGCCAAGAGAAGGTCTCCTTCAGGACGCTGAGGAACTGGTCGGCGCTCAGAGAGCTGAAGTAGCTGGTGAGGTTGTCGCTGGAGACGGCGACGCTGGAGCTGCTGGGGGTGGCAACAGCGGCGGCGCTGGAGCTGGCAACCTGGATGTGGGTTTGCTGGGGGGCGCTGCCAGTGACAGTGACCTGCACAACGTCAGTCGAAGTCTGGTAAGCAGTGGCGACCGCAGTCTGAACGGTGGTTTCAACGTCGGTGACAACGGCAGCAGCAGCGGCAGTGGTGGTGGTGGCGCTTACGGCGGAGCTAGTCGCAGCAGCAGCGCTGGTGGTGGAGCTGGAAGCGCTGGAAGTAGTGGCACTGGAAGTAGTAGCGGCGGCAGCGGCAGCGGAGCTGGTCGAAGAGGCACTGGAGGAGCTGCTGGAGGAGCTGCCGGAGGAAGTGGCGTTGTACATGGCAGGGCCGGGGATGTCATAGGAGCTCAGGGTCTCGTAGATGTTGACCAGGATACCCGGGTCGGTGTCCTTGTAGAGGGCTTCACCCTTGGTGCCCGAGTAGGTGGAGCTACCACTACCGGTAACCTTAAGGTTGAGACATTGAGGGTAGTTCTGGGCGCCATCCTTGTTCTCAGCGGAGTGCAGGGCAATGATCTCGTGACGCAGGACGTAGTTACCAGCCTCAAGGGTCGAGGGGATGGTCACAGTCCAGCTGTTGTTGTTGGAGATCAGGTTGTCGGTGGCCCAGGTTCCAGGGACTTCAGTGTCGCTGATAAGACCGCTCTCGTCGATCTTGAAGAACTCAAGGTCAGTCTTGGTGACATCGGAGCAGTCACCGTTGCAGTTGGCAAGGTAAGTCAGGACGGGACCGTGGTGGCTGGAGGGCCAGTCAGTCCACTGAAGCTCGACAGTACCACCGGCCTTGACATCAGCGGAGATAGCACCAGGCTTAGCGCTCTTGTGGCAGATGATGTCAGCCTCGGCGTACTCAGAGCCGTCGACGTATCCAAGGTCAGTGGCTTCGGTAGACCAGGCAATGGTCTCCGGAGGGTCGCTCTCATAGGGGTAGGAGGTGACGATGTATCCTCCGTAGTACTCGCCGTCGATGACAGCACCAGACACATAACCGTGGCCAGCAACAAGGGCGGCCGAGCCGAGGACAACACCAGCAATCTTAGCGACAGACATTTTGCAGGCTTTGAGTTAATCGACGCACAGCGTGATCGTGGGTAAGAGGGACCGGTTGGAAAAGAAAGAGTGACGAAGCAAATGGTCTTCAATCAATGAAGCCAGGAAAGGAAAGTAAGAGAATGGATGGTTCTAAGACCCCGGGAAAGAAATGAATGAGAAGCTGATGAGGAGGAAAGAAAGAAAGGTCGAAGCAAGACGTGAATCCAGCGCCTTTATATAATGCTAGCCATGGTCGTAGTTCTATCAAGTCTCCGCCCAAAGCTCAGACCGAACGGTTTCGAACCAGGATAAATGAAAGGTTCACTCCCCGATAGCCATGCAGCAATTAGATTTCTTGGCAGCTGTCAAGTTCCCACTGACTACAGGGCCGACTGAGACGCGGAATTGATTGGGATAGGGTCATCGCAGACGGAGAGTCTGAGATTGATGAAAAGCAGGCACTAGACCACAGACCACAAACACGCCGGTAGGTTCCAGAGTCGGAGGTCGAGACACCCTTGCAGGAGCCAGTTACTACTTGGGCATTAGCGCTGTCCAAACAGGGGAGACGGAGAGGCGCCGAAAAGGGCCCAGCGAGTTTAGCTACTTACCGGAGCAGAAGAGTGGACCGAATGCCGGAGGCCCTCTGGCCGTCCGGCGGCAGTCTGCGACATGGCGAGTTTCACTCTGGAGCTATTCTGGCTCCAACTCCGCCCTGCCAAGAAATGCCATTTTTGTCAGTTCCGCCGGAAGTGGCTTGTTTAGGTTATGTCAGTCGTTGGAGATAAGAAGAATCTGTTCGATTTTGGAATTGATAGAGAGATGAGCTTGGAAGCCGGGGTGAAGTAATGTCGTCCATCCGTTGTTACAGAGTACTACTAGATGGTTGTAGATAGCCAACTACTTAATTAGTCAGGTGGTACTGCAGTAGTCAGCGATCAGCCACGTGCGCACTAGTCCCTTTCGAACTCTTGCTCACCTCCCTCAGTGGCTTTCAACAGTACTGCACTTTCCTTATGGAGGTTCTCCATGTTCTGCGTGATGAAATGTGGCGGGAGAAAAAATAAAGAGCGACAAGCCTGAATCTCAAAATGGAGGGGCGCAATAATGCCACCTGCCACCCAATAGAGATGGTGCCATCCCGTCACATACATAGTGGTGATAACTGGGGCCGGGGCCCATCCGACAATTAGATTGAGACCGCCGATTTAATTGCAGGGAGGGCCGCATCGAACTTGGTCTTGGCAATGCCCTTACGAAGTAGAGTCAAGCTTCCCATGATTGATTCGTTCACCTTCTCAGCTTTGATTAACACCTCACTGTAGGCTAATAAGCAACAGCCCTGTATTGATTGGGTGCCGCCCAGTTTCTGTTGAATGGAGATGGTCTGGATTACCTGCTAGTCCGTGAATTGAAAACACATTTGTGGCCGCAAACGCTCCTTTCGATAGGACCCTGAGGGTCCACGCGCTCCATGCAGGGACCGCTATTGCTTCTTGAAGCGCCCGACTTGGTTTAGGAGTGCAATCCCTTACTGATTCTCGTCAGCTTTGGGAAGTCTGGACGCTCAGTGGTGGTAGTCTGTTACTGGTAGATGGGTGGGACTTGTGATCCTAGCTGCACCGTTGGGGTCTTCAATCCGAAACACACCCATTGGCGGAGTTCACTATCCACATGTACCAGCGACCAACCAAGCTTTTTTTTTAAACAACGGCCATCGGTATAACTTGTTTGATAGGGAAGGGACGGGCTCCTGTGGAATTATTCGTCGCCCGCAGATCTCTCATGTCTTGCCATAATTAGAATGTCAGTTGTTGCAGTTGATATAAACGGACTTCTTGTCCTAGCTGCGACCTTCCTTGGAACTGTGGTTATTAGCCTGAAGCATGCTTGAATAACTGAACCCCAGCCCCAAATCAAAATTCTTGGGCTGGACGGACACTGAATTGGTTTTCTGCATTCTGCTTTAGGTGTATGACTAGCCGTTGTGTATGATCAGCCAGCCATTCAGCGGTGATTCGAAGTCCACGTTCCTATGATAGTGTGTATGCATAGTATTAATATAAATATAGATGATGCAACTTAGCATATAACGAAAACGCCCATTGAACGAGGAAACCTTATAACCTTAACTCGGAAGTTGTCGTGCGCTCGGCCCAGCTACTACTCTGACCTGTACTACTACTACATTTCGTCACGATCCATGTACTTCTGCAATTTGGGATCTGACTGCGTTCACTGTGCGACTTCATGATCCTATGTAGATCAGGCGGGTGTTGGTAACTGCAATCCTTGCATATTTTGGACACAGGACCTTAAAATGTCACCCAAGCCACCTGCAGCCAGCTCTTGAAGGAAAGACTGTGTAGGACATCCTCTCTTAGCACTGAGTCGTGTATCGCTTGAAGCTATCGCATTATGTCAGAAGTACCATGGAACCCTCGAAATATATACTTAGCCCTCATTATACGAATTTGTCATGAGGTTTGGCATCAATAAGCTAGGATGATCTCTGGCGCTTACCTTCATGGAAAAAAAAGAACATGAAGTGACTGCGAAAGCATCATGGAACCAGCTATCGGAGTATAAGGTCTCCGCCACTAGCAATTTGATGTGCTTCAGCTGTGTACTGTGGATGGCAGGATTTTCATATAGTAGATAATTGTTTTTCCCTGGAATGGGCTGATCGACACCGCTCGGTAAGTCTTGAATGGTCAGCCACCCAACGAAGCACTTTATGAGAAGATAGACTAGACCCCCACAGTAGATCAGTACACTCTTGATATTTTCCCGCCTACTTCCGGATTAAGTATTCTTTTCTTCTGGTGTCCTTGCGCTAGTGAAAATCGGCTTGCCGTGAGATCTTCGCTGCGGAAATAGCGTTATAGGCACATTGCAATTGCTCACAAGATCGCGTGGGCATGCGGTTTTTTTTTTTTTATTTTTTTTTTGGGTCCTGAATGATCTCGATTGCTAAAGATGACCTGGCTTTCCTGGTCGACTGAAACCTGCATTCTTCCATGGTCCCCTATGTAGGCATCCTAGAAGCCTGTCGTCAGAAAATTCGGAATGACCGACCATTTATTGAAAACGCTTGCGGTGAGGCCTGTTAGAATGTAGATTCGACTAGTAATGCATTGTGCAGGGTAACTTGATGTGCTAAGTGAAGAGGCCCAAAATTTGGGATTTTATTGGTACCTGATCTGCTCCGCACGGTGAACTCGGGTCGAGTGCTGTCAAAACGCTTATCGAGGATGCGGTCTGATCGTGATCCGAGGGTGCTTGGTGGAAAATCCCAGGCAAAACATGACGGAGAATTCAAATTGCTGACCATTCGGAGTTACACTGTGGCGTCATTCCATCGCGCATCTCCTGAGTATGCGAACTACTGCTGGATCAAAGTTACTTGACTGCTGTCGTCTATTTTCTTTGCAACTGCGGAAAACCATCCATACTTAGGCTGTCGTACGTGGTGGATGTCCAAGTTGCTGAGAATGGTAAACGCAGATAATGCAGTCTGGACCAATTGACGGTGAGATATGCTCCATAATGATCCGCGAACAAAGCGCCACTCTCTCCAATCCGCGAATGTGCTCATCCTTTGTGGCTGATCAAAATACCAAGTAACTACGGTAACTGGTATTTATTGTACTGAGAGTTGCGTTTATCACTCAACGAACACCTGCTTGCCCAAGTACTGTAGTGTTCCCAATGGAGTAGGGCTGTTTTGCGAGTGTTGCGTTGACGGAGAGGATATCATACAGATGTGTCACAAAATGCGGTGCGATCTGACAGGCTTGATCCAAATGGCTCGGATCTGAGCCGCCCGCCTACCGTGGGATCAACATATTATCTCTCATTCTCAGAGCGATGATCGATTGATGATGGAGGATCGGAAGAAGTCAGCATCTACCCACCAAGTCATGGACACGATTTACACAGTACGTGCACTATAGTAGTACTATTGACTTGTAGCCCGCTACGTGTCCCGAGACTTGTCAATCAATCAATGACAGATGAAGACACTCCATAGAGCGACGACATCCACCGAACTTAAAGGCAATAGTACGGAGTAGACGAGTACTTGGTGTATCTAGTCAGTTCAATGTTCGGAGTAATAAGGAAGGCGCAACTTTTGGTGATCAATTAATACCACCTTGAATATCACTGGTTGCCGTCTTCGGGCGCCCCTCCCAGGATCGTTCCCCGGCCAATGGAAACTCGGCGGCCTAGTTACTCCGTTCCTGGCCGACATTTGTCCATATTGGGACTAGCGCCACCCCGGGGCGGCCTCACCGCGACTCACTGTCGAATCCTCGCAAAGAGTCGTTTTACAGCAAAGTGCCTCAGTCAGCAGATAACCATTGATTCACCTCCCTCCCCTTCCTGTCCTTGGCCTCTTTCTCCCGTCTCCAGGACTGACTTGCCGGTCGGACGCCGTCTCCCGAGTCACCCTTCACATCTCTCTTTCTAATCTTGTCCTATCCATCGAGATTCTACTCGGATTGATACACTCGCGTCTACTACCCTCGAAACTTCGGCGCTCCGACGCCCGGCCTGGATTTTGCACAGTGACTCCCTTTTCCCAACTCTGCCGCGCCTCCGCCTCCGCTCCCCCCCTACGCCAGCCGCCCTTACTCAACAACCCTACAGTTCCCCTTCAACCACCCTCTGAGAATCCACCACCTTCCCCTCCTTTCAATCCGCTCCCAATTTAGATTTCTCTGTGTCGCTGTCGCCTTGGTTGATGGACGTGGGGTACTGCTGACGGAGGCAAGAGAATCGCGCCCGCAACTGCGCCCGCCCAGCACATTCCCGTCCAAGTCGGCCGCCCTTTGTCCTCCTGTCCCACCGTCCGAAGTGTCAACAATCTGGATTGCAAATACATAAGGTGTGGGTTGAAAGCAGGCTGTGAGGCACTCTAGGGAGAATTGCAGGCATCTCCCTCTGGTCTTCTGAAGACTGCTGTGAGAGTCAAATGATGGGATCGGCAGAGGCTGCCTCTTCGCCTGCGTTTCCTTTTCTGGACCCGATTGTCGTTGATGACGAGATGGGTCACCCTTACCAGGACGAAGATATGGACTTTTTAGATACTGCGAGGCTGCAGATGTCGGCGGAAAATGCAGGGAGGGACTTTGACGACATATTCTCACGCGCCACTTCATCCCGCCCGGTCGCGGAATCGGAGCCATCGTGTCTGTCGCCCTCGGAATTGTCTCTCAAGCGATCGTATCAAGAGCAGGATGCGTTGCGACAAGTGAATGTGGTATCGTCCGACTCCCCCGCCGAGTCCCCGGATGGCTCATCTCCTAGCTCTTCCTCCACATCACCGCGGAATCATCTTCGAAACCCGTCCGTCACCTCGTCTGCGTCGGTTGTCCATAGCGAAAACACTGTTATGCCGTTCGGATATGCGACAGAGGATTGGATGAATCCCGACTTGTCATCAGTGAAGGAGGAGTCGCTGTTTGGTCTGGACCTTTCCCTGCCAAACCTTGACGGCGCGTTTCCCACAGACACCGATCTGGAATCGAGCAATAAAGCCATGGATGCCGCATTTGATTTTGAGAGTGCCGCCAGCAGTCCTAGCCCTCTTAAATCCGAGTCTGCGCAGCCCAGAATTGCTAAGAGATCCAAATCTCAGATGCGGAGTGTTTCTAGCACTTCGGCCAGACATTCTGCCTCATCGGTGAGTTCCCGTTCTTTCATTGCCGCCAATTCGATCGTGCTCTGCTGACACATACCACACAGATGAATGGGTCATCCTTCTTTCCTCGCAACACCAAGGAGCCTTCGCCGTTCTCCGTTTCGCGTAGCTTCAGTCAGGCCAAGTCGCCACTGGGCCCATGGGGAGGCCATTCACCGTCATCACTTTTGGAAGAAAGCTTCGGTGGAATTAACATGAATGGCGGTTCTCCGCTTACTCCGGGTCTCAACTTTGGACCGAGTAGCTTCCCATTTGGTGTCAACTTCGCACCGTCCCCTTCTCCAACCACCGTGAAGCAGGAGACGACGCAGCGTCACATGCTAACCGTGCATCCCACCTCCCTCAAATCACGCGTGGAGACTCAAATTCCTATCAGGCTGACCCTCTTTCCGTTACCGAATGGCGTCAAAAAGTTGCGCTTGCCGAGCCACACCATCTCGAAGCCGAAATTTCTTGCACCGCCGACTGTCGAAAGGTCCCCGGAGATTGTGGAATTGCACACAAGTCTCGTTTGCACAAGTGCGATGCAGGATCAAGAAAAGCTGAAGAAGGCGTTTGCCAGAGCAAGAGGAGATAACTCTTACCGTTCATCCAGCTCTAGCCCACGTTCCGCTGAAGACATGCAAGAAGACGATAAGCCACTGGATGGCGGAGAAGTGAAGATCTGCCCGGGTTGTATACAGCGTGAGCGGAAGCGTGCGTTCAGGAAAAAGCAAAGAAAGCCGGAGGAAGACGAACTCTTCCAGAAGGACGAGGAGAAAAGGGTAATCGTCTTCAACACCAACGAAGTCAAGGAATGGGCCGAGCCATCGAAGAATGCCATGCCGAGCTTTGGAGACGCTCCGTTGCCTAATATTCCTCCAGGGGCTATGCAAGTGGAGTTACCAATGCGTATCGCATGCTACTGCAGGCATCAGAATGAGAAGCTTGGGTTTCAGTACGTATACCCGGCTCTGGGCGGATGTGGTATTGTGGCACTTTGCTAACTTTCCTCTTTAGA